ACCTGTAGTGAGCACAGCATCAGAAGATCAATGCATCACACTTGGTTCAAATAAAAAACAGAACAGAAAATTCTTTTAAAATGCATAGAAGGCTTTGTAGTAATGCTCTCAGAGGACAAGCAGTGTCTCTAAACCATTTCTTGGAAGGAGACACAAGGAAAACCCCTCAGGCTGCAGGACTCAGAGAAACCAGTTAAAAATCCCCACTGAATAATTCCGGTTAGAGATCAGTGGCAATAGAAAGGTGACTGTGAGGCGACAAACACAAAGGAAAATGAAAAAGAATGCACAATAAGACTTTTCATTACATTTAACAAATTTCAGTTTTCATTATGGACATCTCATTATTGAGATTGCTCTGTTAAAAGCCATCACACTGAATTATCTAACATTGAATTATCCACACAAATCGACACAAAATAATAATAATAACAATTTAATACTTGAGCCACAAGAAATTGAAATCCTGGCTGAGTTTGGAGCTGAGGAGGTCTCCAAGATATTCAGAGAGGGACAAAACCAAATGACGGCATCTGGTGATGGTGGCCACTGATTTTTCAAACGTGTCTGCTTCAGTGTGGGCTGTTTCGAATGGATTTTGATTTCCTGAATCCGAATACGACAGTTAAAACAGCTGACTGGTGGTCGTTTACACACATCTACATTATTTTGATGAGTTGGATGTCTTTTACGTCTGTTTGTGGCCACTTTATCTAAAAATCTGAAAAAGGGAAGCAGTTACACAGCGGCTATTCTACCACAAATAGACTGACTTTATTTTGAACCCAGCGAGGCCAGATCCAGTCGTTGCTGTTTCATCAATTACCCAGAATATTATGACATGATGTTAGTTTGTTTCATCACTTGGCAACGTGCCTGTTTACAGATGTCTCTACAACCAACCTTATTTATTCAGTGATACATGGCACGAAAGAGGAAAGACACTTCAAATTCTGAGGAACAGTAAATCAAATATATACTCTGCTCAAAAAAATTAAAGGCACGCTTTGAAAGCCCTTCAGATCTAATGGGGACAAACAGCATTCTGGATGTCTGTACTGATATGGACAGCGTGATGTGTTCAGAATAAACCTACAGAGAGTTGAATTCAAAGACGCCCTGAAAATCAAAGTGAAAAAATAATGCAGCGGGCTAGTCCATTTTGGCAAAATCTCAGTAGTTTGCACGGCCCCACATGCTTGTATGCATGCCTAACAGCGTTGGGGAATGTTCCCTATGAGACCATGGATTGTTTCTTTGGGGAGCTCCCCTCAAATCTGGACCAGGACATCACTGAGCTCCTGGACAGTCTGAGGCGCAACCTGGCAGCCACCCATGGATGAAGCATAATGTCCCAGAGATGTCCTATTGGTTTCAGGTTAGGCGAGCGTTATGGGTCGGTCAGTGGTATCAATTTCGCCTGTAGAGATCTGTGCATCCCTCCATGGATATGTTGCCCCAGACGATCATTGGACCACCACCGTTTGACATCGGTGGTATAGCTTTGAAATCGGTGGTGATTGGCCCGTAACACTCGCCTAACCTGAATCCGAGTTAGACTAATGAAGGTTATCTCTCTCATCATGTCAAATGATGTCACAGGTAACACAATGTTCTCCCCACCCTCTTCTGACCTTTTCACGTCTGTCGCATGTGGTCAGGGTCAACCTGCTCTCCTCTGTGAAAAGTACAAGGTGCCAGTGGTGGACCTGCCAGTTCTGATAAGCTCTGGCAAATGCCAATCTGGCTCCATAGAACCAGGAAGTAATCACAGGTCCCACTAAAGGACATTCAGTTCTCAGGCCACTTTCACAAAGTCTGTTTCTGACTGTTAGATCAGACATATTCACACCAGTGTCCTGCTGGAGGTCATTATTGTAACTCTGGCAGTGTTCATCCTGTTCCTGCTTGCTTGAAGAAGCAGATACCGGTCCTGCTAATGGGTTAAGGACCTTCTACAGCCCTGTCCAGCTCTCTTACATTAACTGACTGTCTCCTGGAATCTCGCATGCTCTTAAACCTGTGCTGGGACACACAGCAGACCTTCTGGTAATGGCATGTGTTGATGTGCCATCATGGAGGAGGTGAGCTACCTGTGCACCTCTGTAGGGTCCAGGTCTCAACAGCCCAATGCAAAACTATTGAAAAAGAGTCAAAAAAAAAGAAGAGCAGGGAAAAATGTCAGCAGCTGTCACCAACAAAACCATTGCTGCTTCAGGGGTTGTCTCATTGTTGCCCCTCCACCGAACCTGCTGTTAATTCCATAAACACCAAAGCAACTGAAACTAATTAACTTCTGTACTAATTAAAAGACCAGATCAGTGTCCCAGAAGTTTAAATGTCTTGATATATACTCTGTTTAAAAAATGGTATTTTAATTGTTTTGAGCAGTTTACATTAAAGCGTATATTTTAATGTCCATCCATTTGTCTTTGCTTATCCTTTTCAGGGTTGTGGGGGATAGTGGAGTCTATCTCAGCTGTCTTAGAGTGGGAGGCAGGGTACACCCTGGACAGGTCACCAATGTGTCGCAACTATGGGCAATTTAGAGTTTCCAAATAGCCTATCCCCACTAACTGCATGTCTTTGGACTGTGGGAGGAAACCGGCGGGAACCACACAAACACGGGGAGAACATGCAAACTCCACACAGAAAGCCCCTGGCCTGATGGTTGAATTGAACTCAGGACATTCTTGCTTGCTGTGAAATTGTTCTTGCACCGTGCTGCGCATAATTTAATGTGGGTTTTTTTTTTTTTTAATGTCTAACTTTACCTTGTAGAATTACAGATTTCCCGCTAAAAGAAAAGTCCAGGTCAGAGTAGAGCTCAAAAGCTCAAGTGATTGATAGTTTGAGAGACTGTCCATCAGAAAATGAGCACCTACTAAAAAATATTCCACTAATTTCTGGTTTCAGTTAGGAACTTTAATCTTAGAACTGACCGACAAACACGTCATGAAAACCAACCAACAAACCATCGGACGTTTTAAGCGCCATTTCTGGTTTTAGTGACTCATAATTTCTAAAGTTTGATAACATGTATCCTGAAAGCATTTTGGCTGAGGACCAGTGATATCAAAACTTCTTTTAATCATTTAGTTCTGTTCTACGTTTACACACTGCCGGTGACACAGACTGAGGTTTGTGACATTTTCGATGAATAAAAGCTCGTTTCACACACAGACTGGTCTGTTACTGGGCCTGAACTGTGTTTTGTTCTGTCCCAGCTGCCAGCTGTGACTTTCTGTCTGCTGCATACAACAGCTGTTATGTCATCTAAACATTGAGTAAACACAGACAAACAAAGGCTGTACCAAGGAAGACATGTTACTGTGTGAAAACAGCAAATCAGAGTACTCTCACAGCTGAAATGCAGCAAAACAATGACTGCCACCGTGCAGGTACAGCAGGAAGAGACTAAGTAGGGCAGTAGGTCGTTTCTGTATGAGACAACTTCCTGAACAACAAACACTTCAACGTGCAAATTTTCATGTGTGAAAAAAACCCATCCATTCACAGCAAAGACGTCCACCTCAACATTTTTCTGCCATCACGCCCACTATCTCATCTAAAAAGTTTCTTGAACTTGCAAACGAGCCAAACTTGCCCAAGCTGTGATTGTGTTAGAGGTGAGTGATAGAGGATTTAGATATTTATTTATTTATTTAGATATTTAGAACATTTACATAATTTTCTATATTGAGACACTTTATTTTATTTTGCTTTTGTGGCTCTTTTTCTACAATAAATATATTGTAAGTAAATCCATCTTTCTTTCTAGGATATCCTAGGTTAGAGGTGAGTGTTAGAGGATAGAGATACTTTTCACCCCAAAAAGCCTAAATATGTAGTTTATTGTTGATTGACTGCTGCTGTGGCGTTCGTGTTCTTCATGTTTCTGGTCTTGGCCACTAGGTAGCAGCATAAGTCCTCAAACAGAAGGCGAGCTGGAACTCGAGGTGACTGTTTACATGTCTGTATGAGCAGCAGCACGTACTTCACAATTTTAACAGAAGCTCTTATTATAAGGAAGGAAGCGGTTTAGTTTCTGAGTATTGATAAGAGTCTTTCTGTTTAATTTGTGCTCTTGTGCAATTTGTCCAATTCTAAGAGTTTTCATCTTGAATTTCAGGGTCTCTAAACTTCACTGAAGTACAGTCACACCCGTTACTGCCGTTTAGGATCCTAATTGAGTAAGACCAGAAGAATTCACTTCAAATATATCTGAAGCGTTGGCTTTTTTTTCCTCTGATGGTCCTTTCACAAATCTTTGTCATCCAAGAGAATCACTTGCTCAAACAAATTCTTGTAAATTTTAAACAAAAATGTTCTCTAGAGAACTTTGAACTGGCTTACAGCGTAGAAAATGACTACAAGGACACTTACAGGAAACTTTCATGACTCTTCAAACTTCTTCAATTTCAAAGAGAAACTCCTCAGACCTCTCACATCTACAAGTTATTTTATTTTAAATATCCCGCACTGTTTGCTGCCCTTACACCACTGCACATACCAAACACAAAGAGCTATTTTGGTTTATTTTACAGAGCCAATAAACAGATCAGTAAGTATTTTGTTTTATTGATCTTTTATTTATTTGGACTTATTATTGCCATTATATTTACAGCATTGGACCGAGCAGCGAAGGAAACTCAGGCACAGGTTAAAGTCCAAAAAAAGTTGTTTTTTTTATTTAACCCAAAAACATAGTTGGTTAAATCATATAAAAGAAATCTAAATCTTGGGTCCATAAAAGATGCCAAAATAACAGAACTCCACTCGAAGTTGCCAACAAACAATACTGGTAACTCAAACAAACTGAGCTAATTAAGTGAGACAAAGGAAAAACTCGCCTGATCAGCCCACAAAAACACAACACACGAAACCTAACTGAAACTAACGTAACGAACTCCAATCCCCCCCATGATCCCGAGTTATGGAATGAGCCAATTTGCTGCTCTCCATATAGGCTTGCTCCGCCCCTTTTCCACCCCTTGGCTCCTCAATCAAGGGACTGCAGCAGCTGCAACTGAGGTAACTCCGAAAACAAAGAGATTAAATCATACATAACAGTGTAAACTAAAATGTGCGCACTTATTTTAGAGTACAGTGTTATGTATGTGAATTAATTCTAAACCAAAACCAGTTATTCATTGTCCCGTAAATTAATTCCTAAAGAAAGACAAACGTCAAAGCAGTGTTTTGTATAAGCCTCAACACTGATATTACCACTGTGTGGCTGTAACTGCAGCCACACAGTGGTAATATCAGCAGCATATTTTTATCCAGTGAGACATTTTGCTTCACTTTTAGATTATTTAGATCATTTACATAATTTTCTATAATGAACCACTTTTATTTTACAGTGTTTTTGTGGCTCTTTTTCTAAAATAAATATACTGTAAGTAAATCCATCTAACTGCAGTCGATTAATTACCCAGGATAATATTTGAAAAGTGAAAAAATACTAAATTGATATCTCTCTTTAAATCTTGAGCTCTGTTGGTTTCTCTGAGCTTTCTGAAAGCACGTTGCACTCTTTGGGGATCTTGAATGCTCTGTTTTGCTGGTTTCATGGTTAAAGGATATGGGTGGGATAGCTAATATTTTGCATGCAAAAATCATTAATACATGAATTAATATAGTGAAGTAAAAGCATAAAGTTGCTCAGAGAGTTAGAGAGAGGGGAACTTTAGGTAAAATAAGTATCAGTGAAACAATAAAGAGCAGCATAAAAGAATACAACTTGCAGGTTTGCAGTCAGATTTACAGGTTTTGGATTTACAGAGCAGTGGTAAAATATTCTGTCTTTTATGAAATCAAAGTGAGATGCAGCATGACTCGGGAGTATCTGCATCTGAAAGCAATTTCATTGACCCAGGATCAGTTTGGAGTCGTGTGTGTGTTCTCAAAATAGGATTGCTGTCTGCATGGGGTGAAAATAAACATTCTTTTTTTATCTGCCGCTAATAAAGTTCATTTGTCCTCAAAAGAATAAAATTCTGTTTGTTTCCACATCAGTTTAGGACTTCTCTGAGGCTTAGACACGGTCAGGATGTAATCCTGGATGAGTTGTGAATCAGTTCAGTTCACTTTCTGTTCTATTTGCTCCAAAAAAAATGAAATCTACTGTCAGCTTAACACTGTTTTCGCTTTAAATAATGTCAAGCTTTTAGCTAAGGGGTTCTCTCTCAAAAAGGACGTCAGTCTTTTGGTCAAATGCAGAGACACGACCAAAGCAAATCCAAGTTTTTCTAATTTTACAATGAAAAAAAACAAACAAACTTGGAACATATTTGTGATATAAAGGCTGCAACTTGGCAACAGTTTTATTGCTAATTGATCTCAACTGGCAATCATGAGCAGAAAAGGCCCAAAAAAACTGTTTATATTGAGCAACATCGTCTTCTGAGAGCTCTCGTTATAGTGCCTCAAATCAGAGTGGGGAGGAGGAGGGGTGGATGGGTGATAAAACGTTACAGATCAGTGTTGGCATCTTCAGCCTTTTGTTTGGAATAATCATTATCTTAAAAATCTTAAAATTAAGTTAAGATTAAGATTATAACTCCCCAGCCTTAAAATTTTGTGCATATATATGTAAGCGTACATTACCATGACATTGCCACAACATCAAAGCTTGGTTATAAATTTATATGTATCTTTTTTAACAGTTCAGTTTAAAAAGTATGTCAATCAGAAACAAATAAAACATATTTGTTAATTTGGACATAGCCTCTGGGTCTGAAAACTGAAGCCAAGAGAAAGTGCTTTATACCTGCATTCTTGTTGGCAGCCAGCAGGGGGTGCTTCCTTTCAACAAGGCTACTCCTGAATAAATGTTGCAGTTCAACTTTAAGGCCATCACAGCCTCGGTAAGTTTCCCTTCCTAACAAATGCTGCTGGGTTTTTTTTTTTTTTTTTTTTAGTAAACCTAGGAGCTGAACTCACTAAACTGGACGTCTTGACCATATGTGTGCTATTGGTGCCTTTTTGAGCATATTAATGCAATTATTTAACAAATAATGCAGCTTGCTTGTTTTGGTGAGTGAAACGTACTTTATAAAAAAATTTACTTAGCAATAATTAGCATTAGCTTGGCATCCATGCTGCAAACATTGGCAGCATAATTTATGTCTATGCCATCTTTTATATACAGTATATGAATTTAATAAAAAATCCAACTGTATGGAAGTCAGTGGGAAAATTAGCTTATTTCTCACTGTGTATGTGACTTCTATCCTTCTATTCTTTTCTGCTTATCTAACATTTGGTCATGCTAGCAGCAGGCTAACCAGGGTATTTCAGACTTTTCAGTTCCTCCTGGGTGGTCCTGAGGTGTTTCTAGGCTTCTCCACCAGGTTCTGGGTCTATCCAAGGGTGTGTTCCCTTTTGGGTGTACCCAGAAAATCCCTAGGTGGCATCCGAACCAGATGCCCAAACCACTTCATCTGGCTTGGGGTAGCAGCTCTACCCCAAGATTCCTCCAGATATCAGAACTTCTGGTTTCAAATATTATTTTAAAAAGCAAGTTGTCCCTTTCACAAATTGTTCTCCCATTGAGAGTAAAACAAATGCTGAAGCAGGATTTGCTTAGGATCATGGCTACCTTTTGATTGACAACTTGTTTTGTTAGCATTTTTGGGAGGCATTAATCAATTTAAAGAGTACATCAGAGTTGTGTTCCAGGTTTACAATCAGTTTAAAACATCCTGGGAACATGAAGTGAAATCACAGGAGAGTCTTCTTGAAAGTGTCCCTGAAAGAATTGAGCGGCTGCTGAAGGACTTTCCTGGCTGCGCCATCTGTCAGTAAAGAAAAATGACGTCTGACATGATTTTGTCAAGGTCTCTTTACCTCAAATAAACATGGAGAATATGAGGACATCTGGTTGATCAAATTAAAATGTGTCCCTCATCTAATGACACCATCTGGCCCGCTGAGCTGTAAGCTTGCTAATTTATGATTTTTTTTTTTTTCACTGTGCTCAATGCTAAATCACTGCACATTAAACGCACGGCACTTTCCTGTGACAGTCGACTGAAGTAATTCTGAATGAAACACAGAATCAGATCCAGATCAATCAAGAAGGGATCAATGAGTGGAAAGAGCCTCGTTCCAGGCCAGATTCGAACCTAATCTACTCCTCATGTCTCATGTTATGTAAAGTCAAACACACAGCTTTTAAAACTAGATTTGCATTCGGATTCTTCTCTTTCAGCTGATCTGCAAGGATGCTGCAAGAACATTAGCCAAAGCAGGAGGAGGGAGCACATTCCTCTGATTCAAACAGTTCAACTGTAGCAGGCTGAATTTTCTCAACCTGTAATTTTGGACTAACTAGCAGCACGAGACCTGTGATCTCATTTGTAGTTACAAAGCATTTATTGTTTACAGTATAATTACATGACATGAATAACCCGGCTGTACACATGGTTAATGTGTTAATGCCCTCAATACCCTGGCTTTTATTCTGCAATCACAGACTTATTCACTTGTCTTATTTGATTGTATATTTATTTATGTTTTATATAGTGTATATTTTGTATAACTTGTACAGCACTTTGGTCAATTAAGGTTGTCTAAAATGTGATATGTAAATAAATAAACCTGACTTGGTCATTCCTACCATAAAGTTGGGCATTTTCCCGCTTGTCTGTGGAGATAGGCTTGCTTTTGTATCAGTTTTTAACTTTTTTTTCAGTTTCAAAACATCAAGTTAGTGGCAGCGAGGATTCATAATGAGACTTCACTAACCGGTCTGATGTGAATTATGTCTTTTTTTCTCAGCACTGGTAAAACCTCTCACCCTGCTAACAGTACAGACAGCTGTGGTTCGTTATAGTGCACTGAAGATCATTATTGTGTAGAAAAACAGGACAGGGCAACGTATTTACTTTAAATTGTCCTTGTGAAATTTCAGTATTGGGTTTTAATAAAGTTATTTATTAGTCACCGACATAAAGGAGGCCACACGCACTCTTAGGAAGATGTTTAGTGTTTTATTTTCATTAAGTAAAATAAGGAAACCAAATAACTGTCTGCCAGCAAGTCAGTAAGTATGCAGTGTATGAGTGAGAGCATCCATGTAAAACAATAACACAAAGGTTTGTTGGTCAGTCAGCCTGTATTAGAGCTTCTGCCAGAGCTACACTACACTACGCCCAAACTGCTCAGGTGTGAGGCATCCTTAACGAGGTCAGCTCCACCCACTGATTACCTGGAAGAGACTGGCAGACAGAGCCAACGAGGAAAGTAAAGCATAAAAGGAAAATAAATGAAACTGGCTGCCTTCAATTCAATTTTATTTATATAGCGCCAAATCACAACAAAAGTTGCCTCAAGGCGCTTTATAATGTACAGTAGATGCAGAGAAAAGCCCAACAATCATATGACCCCATATGAGCACGCATATTGGCGACAGTGGGAAGGAAAAACTCCCTTTTAACAGGAAGAAACCTCCGGCAGAACCAGGCTCAGGGAGGGGCGGGGCCATCTGCTGCAACCGGTTGGGGTGGGAGAAGGAAAACGGGATAAAGACATGCTGTGGAAGAGAAACAGAGATTAATAACAGATATGATTCAATGCAGAGAGGTCTATTAACACATAGTGAGTGAGAAAGGTGACTGGAAAGGAAAAACTCAATGCATCATGGGAATCCCTTGCGACCGGTGTGCACTGGTTATATTCAAATGACATCCACTGTAAAGTAATCTGTAACATTACGATTACCCACCAAGGAAAGTAACTTCTAAAAGTGCTTGGCTTCCCAAAAATGGTGAAACAATTACAGGGTAATGTAGTTTGATTTTTTTTAGACTCCTCAAACAGCAGCTCCCTTCATTTTTTATCAAATTTGACCGAGACATGGTGTGTTTGCTGAGGACTTCTTTCAGCGGTGGATTAATACGCACTTCTTCTTCTTGCTTATGTCCTTCATGTCTGCAGTGAAGCACTTGTGGCACTTTCTGTGCTTTAGAAAGCCCTTTACCCTGTTTATTTTATTTCTGCATGAGTAGTTTTGCATCTTGTGTAACAAGAGTATGAACCAAAAGCTTCTCTGTGGGTTTTTTGTCCCTGCCTGTCAGCCCTCTTGCATACATACCCTGAAGCATTAATGAACAGAGATCTCGTTGTGAATAATGACACAGAAATGTCAGCATAAAGGCAGTGGCCTCCTTTTTGTTATCGCGTGTGCTGAAATATTGATGAGCCTCTCTTTTTCGCCATTGCCGTCTCAGATATTTGCCTCTGACTGATGAATGCTGGGGCATTTTTCCTGCCAGGCAACCAGGACTGTTTACTGTTAACAAGAGCCGCAATGCAGGCCTTGTTTTTAAAAATCACAAGGGGAGAGGATGGGTAACCATCCTGCGACGTGAACAGTTTGTCACTATTTTCATCTCACCGCGGTCTGTGCCCAGTTTGCCGCTTTCCTCGAGAGCTGCTTTACATGTCGCCTTTGTTTTTAGCTTCTGGAGTCTGGAGGAGACTCATTCTGTTGCTAATTTCACCGGCTCTCCCTCTGTGCTTCATTTGCTGAGCACATCACTACGGCTGTGATTTATCACCACTCTGTGGCTTTCTGGTAATTCCCAGGTGAAACTACCTGTCTTAACAACTGCCTAAAATAGAAGACTTATCACCAAGAAGTAGGCTACAGAGGATGTGAATTTTCCCTCCTGTGTTCATGTGTGCGTTTGGAGTTCATCCCACTGCTTAGAAATCATTTCCCGACAAGATTCACACACTACTGAAAGGGTTTCTCTATTCGTGTCGAGACAAATGAGGGCTCGTGAGTTGCTGCTGAATTAAAAAGATATTTCTGCAGCACATAATCTCTTTCAGTGTGATATGAAAGACCAAAACCGATAAATCATTCACCGAGAGGTGTGCTTACCACCCTTGTTCTTACAAGGGCTCAATCATAAGTAAGGATCTTTTTTTTTTTTTTTTTTAAAAAGAAGAAGCTTTTCCTCTTCACAAGAAAATGAGGACTGTCTTGTCAGGAGAAGAATTTGCATTAACTTTGAGGGGAGACTGTATTTTTATTTTGTGCATAAAATTCCAGCACAGAAATTTTAAAAAATGGATGGACACTCCTTTTTGTTCCATTTTACTTCCTGTTTTTGTTTTTCCCTCCAATGTGACCATTTGCCTCACCCTGACTGGTTGTACTCTAGCTCTGTGTGCGTGTAGTACTGTTTCCCATTGTTAAATGTCAGTGAGCTTAAATGTGAGTATAGCTAGTAAAACAAACTTCAGAAACAATAACTTGAAGTAATTTTTTCAGAATAATTTTATCAGTTTCTCACAATGTTGTGGAAGAATTGTGGCCGACCCTCTTTACCGTACTGCTCTCAAAGTCTCCCAACACAGCATTTCAATTGGGCTGAGGTCTGGACTTTGCCTGGGCCTTTGCAACACTTTAATTTAATTTCTTTTTGAGCCATTCTGCTGTAGCTTTGCTCCTGTGCTTTGGCTCATTGTCCTGTTGGGTGAACAGGTTTGGCCTTTAACTGTCACATTTAAATCTGGAATACTTTGGTAAACAGAGGAGTTCATGGTCGACTCAGTGACTGCATTTTATGGCCTGAAGCTCAAGTGCATTTGGGTTATGCAACAGGACAAACCAGTACATCCACCTCTGAATGGCTCGAAAGGGAAAATAAAAAGAGGCCTAATAAAGACGTTCTTGACTTTCTTAGCAGCGCAGTTTCATTAGTGCTTCTCTCTTTGAAGGCTGATTTCCTAATAAAGACCAAACATGAATTAGATTGAGATACCTTTGCATGACCTTAAACAGGTATTCCGTGCCTGGAAATCCACCAATGTGTCTGAATTAAACCAATTCTGCAAAGACTGTGCCCAAGTAATGTGAAAGACTCATTGCCAGTTATCACAAACACTTGATTGTATACCGTATTTTCCACACTATAAGGCGCACTTAAAATCCTTTAATTTTCTCAAAAATCAACAGTGCGCCTTATGTCTGAATTCTGGTTGTGCTTATTGACCTCGAACCAATTTTATGTGGTACACAGCACTCAAAAATCTGTCAAAAAATGTTTTAGTACGACTTTGGTAAGCTATGAAGCCGCACCGCTTTGATGGATTGTCGGAGAATTACGGCTGCCGTAGTCAGAAGACTCGCGGAGTAATCTGGGTCCAAAACTCCGCTTCAGGTCCCAAAGTCAAACAAACACTGCGGCATCACTGAGAGTTAAAAACTGTCTAAATTCTTTCATCTTTAATAAAATGATCAGCGTTGCTGCTTTACCAGGTGTAACAATTAAGTTTAACATCCAAGCATCCATGAAAACAGAATGTATTAAATTTAACAGTTAGAAGTTAGCAGGAAGTTAGCAGGAAGTTAGCTCGCTAGTTTCCACCTAAACATGATATAGCATGTTCTGACTGAGAGATTTCTGAAAAAATTAAGACATACAGCTTTGCTTTCACTTCCAACATAAATAAAGACAGAAAACTAAACAGCAGAGACGTTTGTAGGGTTACTGAAGTTGGACTAGCTGGTATATAATAATGTGATGGCTGCTACGTGATTGCTAGCGACACAGCTATGTTAGCATAACATAAACACAGTGAAGCTGTAGGATGAACGCTTATTTTTTTCCACTCGATAAAAGTTAACGTGAGGGTTCCCGATGGTTAGGGACAAATGCAATCGCATGGCAGGATGCTGTAAACGGACCAAACGTCAGTCAGGAGAACAACTGAGAAAATCCATCTACAATACGAGGTTAGTCATTCATATATTGCAACATGGGAATAGAGCAGCTGCGAGAGAATTCAACATTATGAATCAATGGTACAGAAGTGGAGGAAGCAAGAAGAATGAGTTGAGTAAAGTTTGACGTATCTGTTTGTTTTGCTTAATGTGTCTTATGGTCCGAAAAATATAGTAGTTATTTATTAGGTTTAGGCCTTTTCCACACAGGTAGCATTGGATAGCTTTTATCAAAACATCATTTTATATTTATTCAGTTTATCTTTGCCTAATATTACAATTCGTTTGATGTGAAAGATGTAAGTGTATCAAATGTGGGGGAAAAAAGACATCAAGAAGGGAGCAAATACTTTTTCACAGCGTGAATGTGGCACTCTGATTTCACTGCTGTAAATGTTCAATGGATTTAATTATGTCATCATTGTGTTCTTCTCCGATGGTTTAAAGACACCCAGCTTGAAATTTAGCCACAACAAGATTACTGTTACTTGCATAATTATGGCCTTCAACAACCTTTCCTGCAGCTTCAGTGTTGCAGACAAATGTCCAAAGCTTTAATAAAATCAGAACAATTTTGTTCTTGGTATGAGATGACCATGAAAGCTGTCAGCCTTTTCTTATCTTGAAATTCCAATAAATTTAAATATGTTTAATATTTGCTTACTTTTTTTTTCTTGACATTATGCAGATAAATTCTAACCACATGAAATTAATTTCAGTCTCTCCATTCTATCCCAACTATTGCCACTGTCATAGCCACTATGTGCAGTGTCTTCTTTTTCTCGTGGACACACACACATTGGCAGGTCTGGCCAAGGGCAGGCATGCTGCTTTGTTCAACAGTTTTTCTTCTTGGAAATTTCCACCAAGGG